GGAAAATGCTTTAGAACAGTCCTTGTGGAGACCTGTGATTAATAAGGAAGAGGGTGAAGAGGCACATGTTAATCTGTTTATCAGGGATATGGAGTTTATTAAAAGTTTTTATAAAACATTCAACTAATAAAGCATTATGTAAAATTAGACATTTTCTTTAAATTGCAAAAAGTCACTAATCTGGAAAAAACCATTGATGTTGCTTCTAAATAACTTATTTATATTTTCCCCACACTAGTAATTTAAAGATGAAAAATTAATTTGGTAATAAGGAGCATTCCATGAAAATGCCACTCAAGATTCTTGGGGGGTGGGGGAGTTGGTCACACTTGCCCTCGGTTCCCAGAGATATCACAGGATAAATAGCATGAATGATCATTTTTAACCTAATTTTATGGTTTGAGCAGATATGTGGCAGATGAATCCTACCTTGCATATATAAAACCAAAATATTATTTTACTTCAAACATTTTCATTTGTTGCAGGTTACATCAGGGGTGGTCCTGAGTTCTCTCTAGGTCTCTAAATGATGGAGAAAACAGACACAAGGGAATTTATGCACAAATGGCCATCAAGAAGTGAAATTCCACAGTGTTCCAGACACATTTCCAGTACCCTGGGTACAGGCAGGAATGGAGAATACAGCCTAGATCCCTCTTTTATGGAATTGAGAGGAGGGAAAAGAATTCTTCCCAGCACTTTTGTCTCCAGATTAAATATGTTAAATCTTTATTATATTTTACATTCTTTGGTCATGTTTTAGGTGGATTTTTAGGTGTCTTTGATATCCTAATTTTTAAAAATCTGCTTCTCTTTAGTTTAGTAGAGACTGAAGTAGCATTGAAGCAGCAGTATGTTTAGTCACCAGGTCTAAATTCAAGTGCCACAGTCAAACCTTGACCCTGGTCAAGTTGTTGAACCTACCTTGCTCAAAACTTTTCAGCTAGATTTAGGGAATAAAAATACTTGATTCACAGGATTGTTTTGATTAAGAGACTATATGTAGGGCCGGCCCCGTGGCGCACTCGGGAGAGTGTGGTGCTGGGAGCGCAGCGACGCTTCCGCCGCGGGTTCGGATCCTATATAGGACTGGCCGGTGCACTCACTGGCTGAGCGCGGTGCGGGCGACACCACACCAAGGGTTGCAATCTCCTTACTGGTCACGAAAAGGACAAAAAGAAAAAAAAAAGAGACCATATGTAAAGCAATTCACACATAGGAAGTGCACAGTAAATGGTAGCTATTATTTTTCAAGTTTTCATGTTTATTTTCATTTAGCAATTCTTGACCACTTTATATTCATATATGGTGACCACGCTTCAGAAAAACAAAAATAAAAATTATGGATCCCATAAACTATGGGTATACCAAAGCAGAAAACTTTAGGTAGACTTTCCCTAAACCCCTGAAAGATAAACTTCTTGGAGCAGTTCGTAGTACATAGTAAGTGCTTAATAAATGTACATAGTAAGTGCTCAAAAAATGTTATATGTTTAGAATTATTATATTTTCATCATTATATTATTTCATGCTGAATTCTCAAGCTTTTACTGTTATGTTTTCCAATTATATAATTATAAATTAATTTTTAAAGATAGAACATATATATCAGTTAGTATTAAGATTTTTTTCTTTTATCAGACACCCAGAGGAAAAGAGGGTTAAATAAGATAGCATTTAATTTCTCCTAATGAAGAGGACGTTCAAGGCGGGTATGGTAGCTCAGCAATTTATCAAGGACCTCGGCCCCTTACTAATCATTTCTTTGAAGTCTTAACAGTTAAGTGCCCCTTTGGTTCATAATGGCTACATGAGCTCGAAACATCATATTCTCAATCCAGCTAATAGTAAGGAGGAAGGAGAAAAAGATGGTAAGCCCCTTCCTTTTAAGAACATCTCCCAGAAACTTTTCTTGACATTTTATCTTATATGCCATTCATCAGAATTTAGGCACATGGCCACGTCACACTACAGAAGAGAAAGGAAACGTTAGTCTTTATTGAGGGTAGCCTTATGTCTACGTAAGATTCAGGGATTTCATTATTCAGGAAGAAGAGGAGACCAGGTGTTGGAGACAAGTAGAAATATCTGTGATATTTGGGCTTCTCCAGAGCTTTTTATCATTCTTTCCTCTTAAGTTTTCTTTTTCTTCTTTTCTTTTCTAAATAGATCCCATGCGTGGCCCAAGAAAACTGGAAGTAGTAGAGGTCAAATCTCGACAAATCACTATCCGCTGGGAGCCATTTGGATACAATGTAACTCGTTGCCACAGTTATAATCTCACCGTCCACTACTGTTACCAAGTCGGAGGACAGGAGCAGGTGCGAGAGGAAGTGAGCTGGGATACAGAAAATTCACACCCCCAGCACACGATCACTAACCTGTCACCATACACCAATGTTAGTGTGAAGCTCATCCTCATGAACCCGGAGGGACGGAAGGAAAGTCAAGAACTCATCGTACAGACAGATGAAGATCGTGAGTACTTTTCAGTGATATATTTACGTGAAATATGTTCTTCCAAAAAGCAAGTTTCTAAAAAGTGAAAATGGAAGAAAGAACTACTGATTTTATTGAATAGCATAAATACGTATCTGTGCTCTGTATTGTTAAGCACTGACTGATAGAGTGTAAAGGGAATAAGGCTGTAGAAATTTATTTTAAATTTTCATTAGTCATGTAATTACTTTTCTGTAAATAATAATTCTACAAGTGTACTTCAAAAAGTTCATGGAAAAATAGAATTAAAAGACAATACAAATCTTCCCATGAACTTTCAAGTACCCTTGTATATTGTTCTGGGTAGTTCTTCATTTAAGTTTTTTGTCATATTGGACTGAAAAATTGTTGTTTGGGATATTAGATTACTTATATAAAATGCTTATTTAAACATATATTTAAATGGCACCCTAAAACATTTTTCGTAGTTCAGATAAAAATGTAGCACAAAATAGAGGCTGTCCTTGCTTTTCAACACAGTGCTGAGAAACTACATCAGGTTGATAGTCATGAGATAGAACATTTTTTCTCTATAGGAACAATGTTGTAATTGGATATTACCTTTATAAATGAGGACTTAACAAGTAAACTATGCAGCAATTTAAAATA